AAAAGAAAAGCAAAGCAAGCAAAGCAAAAACAAATTCCATAAATATGATAAATATATGTTATGTTGTGTAACATAAGTAATCACATGATCACATGACCGGTGAAAATCACCACCGGTGAAAATCACCACCGGTGAAAATTTGACAATTCCAATTTTTTATATTATTTTAGGCCAAACATCAATGGAAACAATTGAATAAGATCATAAAAGGTCATAAGAATGAAAAAATTGTTTAGGCGTCAGATTCGATTTTTTCATGCGATTTTTGATTAATCGATTCAGAAACGATTTTCAATTAATTCGACTATCACAGAATCGATTCCAATCTCTACTGAAGGGAACAAAGAAAAAAAAATTCGATCTGTATAATACAATAATCCCACTATAAAGTGAACACTTTTACATATGAAAAAATTGCATATAAACATGATTTATTTTTTTTTGTGTACTGTGAATTAATTTTCAGTAAAAATGTTAGAGAAGTGAATGAAATGTATGATACTATCAAAGAGGAGTACGCCATTTAATGCGAGTTCCAGCATCAAGTTATTTCTTTGCTCTCTCAAATTTCAGATAAATTTCTATAGCTGTTTTTGTTTCTATCGCTACTAACTAAAAGATTCTCATCCCACACTCTTTTTCTATACTAGATTTCTGAAATAAATTGTCCCACTCATATTTACAGAATTTTTGACTATCTATATCTCTTCCAAACATACAGATTATGTAAATAGTAATATTCTCCACAATGAAACTTCTCCAAGATTAAGTAATTTCGAATCTACGGTATAAATTCTGGAGATTAGCAACTGGGTTAAAAAAAATATTTCCGATTCACACTTACCATTACTATTAATTTTTGCAACATTCCACCCGAAATTTATTACATAATGCATTACAGTAAAGGTAATTCGACATTTTTTTGCCGATACGATACTGCGCCAAAAACCAAGAATTTGGCACATGAAGATGTTATAAATGTAAAAAACATTAAAATAAAAAAAGTTTTAATCATCATGTGATTCCAAAAATCCGCGGATATGACCTCTATTGCATCTATGTAGAGATTTTGATCACGTGTAACCAATCATTTATCTTATAAAACGTGTAACCTGAGACTTTTCCTCTTATGTCATACGTGACCATCCAAATTACTTCTAAGTTCTAACTCAAATGTCATCATTGGCTCTTAATAAATTGGTTTTGTGTGATTAATTTGGCTAAATTAGTTGAACAAAACAACAATGGAATTGAATTCATCTTTCTTAAAATTAATTCTAACCTAATTCTTTCTAGTCATTTGTAGATCATTTCGTTTCTCGCCCCTAATAAATTAAAGAAGGAAAGTTTTGTGTGATGATTTGGCTTTTATATCTACTAAATTAGTTCATTGTCAATGAGGTATCAGGAAGGGCGTAAATTTTTAAGTGTAAACGTAAAATAGTGAATTTTAATGCCAAATGAAATCACAAATTACCAAAAACACTGATTAACCTTTTAATGCACTTTTACTACGGATTTATATAAATTCTATAAAAATATAAAATTAAACGGTTAATTCATCATCATCCGGGGTATGCTTTTGTCGCGAAAAGAAAAAAAATAATTGGCAATGTTGATTGCCAATCATAAATAATTTTTTTTTTTGGAAATTTTCTTATTAAATCATTCGAACGGTCAGGATTTATCATATGCCGATAATCATTTTAAATTCATTTCTAACCAAATTTATTTGTGTTTTTTTAAAAAAAAAAAAATTATAAGAATCAAATATGTTCTCATTCAATTGTTTGTTCCAATTTAATTGAAAAAGGATGTTTTTATGGGGTTGGTTTGGCTTTGACTTTCATTTATCTAAATTAGTAATAGTTTGAACTGTCGGTAAATGTTGAACGAACAAAATAAACTTCGAAAACGTGTAACATAAATAGTGTAAATAATGAAATCACAGCCGATAATTATTTGAAAATTATGTGTAACTAATTGTAATTCAATGTTATATCAATTAATTATTAAAGGTTAATGATGGTCGCTATTGTTCTTTATATCTAATATTTTTTTAACAAAAGTATGCTGTACTACTGTAATCGTGTGTAAAATACGCCACAAAGCTTTTACGATTCTTAATTATTTATTGACCCCAAATTTTTTTTTAAATTTAACATATTAAGTTAATAAAAAATTTGAAAAACAATATGTACAATAAAATGATTTATTGTTGATATCCATTTAATCGGTACCAATAAGTTATAATAAATTCAATAAATTGTATTGTATTTTATTCGTTTTGGGATTCGAATGATAAATGTTCTTGTTAAAAAAATTAAAAAAATTGCATGATATATAATTGAAAGGATTAATGAGTCAAAATTACAGTAGTATGCAATTTAATGGACCAAGATGATGACACTTACAAACAAACAAATAATACTGTAATTTATGCTAATTGCAAAATAATTTATATATTATTAAAAAAATTAAAAAATAGATAATTAAACAATATGCTAAAAAAGGGTTTTTAGAGATTTCTAATTAAGTAAAGTTTATTCGCCATGATTATATAATACAGCACCACTTTTTTAGCCTTTTTTTTTTTTTTTTTTTTTATAATACATAATTTTTTGGATAAATACGTGAATACGATAATCTTTCATGGTGGTAATTTACTTATTCATAAAAATTTAAATTTGTAAAATTGTCGAATTTATTCTATATTTTAAAACTCAAAATATTAATTTGAAGGTAATAATGAGATAAATGAATTTAAAATCTATATGTAACGCGAAAGTGAAATTTTTATCGAAAAGACCCTCTATAAACAAACCTATTAAACGACACCTAAAGGTAAGATCGAAGAATCGAGACTTTTGTCATCATAAAAGCTTGTTCCATTAAAAAAGAAATTTTCAAATTCAGATTTTGTATTTTGTGGCGTATTAATTCGAGCGATTGATTCAATGGTATCAGAATTTCGATTTTTGTTCACATTATCCGCAAAGCTCGTAAACATTTTTTTTTGTGAAATAGTTAAGCGTGAGTTCCAAATTTCATTCGTAGTCGAATCAAGATCAATTATATCCCGTTGATTATCTGATCGCAATTTATTTTCTAAGCAAAACTTAAGAAATTCTTTCCCGGTTAACATTTGCGAAATTGTTCCGTCCCTAACTTTATTTGCAAGTATTCGTGCTTGTTCATTTATATTAAGGAATGAGCGTAGGTCATTAAAATTTATTTGATTTACGAAATTATTCATACTTCGTTATTTTGTTTTTTTTAAAAAAAAAACGAAAGAATTTTTGCGATATCGATATTGTTATTTCTTCGCCGATTTTATATATTTTCATCCTACTATAAATACTATATACCTTACTTTTTGTATACTTGTCTGCTAAGGTCGCGTTTTGCCGACCGACCTATAACTAAAAAACTAAAAGTGATGATTTTCGGAATTTTTGCTTTGTCATATTATATAATTCTTTATCGCATGTTTGGGCTGATAAATTACTATTTCGAATATATATGAATTACTATTTCGAATATATATGTATGAAACCTAAAAAAAATCATAATTATCGGAGTTTCCCATAAATTTTTACGAGAATTCTTACGAGGAAAGTTTAGCATTATAAATGAAAGTAAGTGGGCTAAAACTCATTATCTCATAGTAAGTATCAAAATTTACTAATTTGGTTAAATAGTTTTAGGAAATATCCGAAAATTACGTTGTAATGTAATGTATTTTATTACGAATAAATTTATTTAGTACGCGTAATTACAATCAATTGTATGAAAATAATGCCAGAAATTTCTATAAATATTATCACATGTGACATTGTGACATGGTTAAATATTTTATCCAAAAAAAGTTTCTTATTTGTTACTTTAAACCAAATCTTAAAAATTTTAAACGTTGCCTTTTCACTAATCCTTGTCTAGAGCTCGGGCATTGCGCAGGCTCGAAATCAGTCGGGGAGTCAGGATTTTCATGAAATCATCCATAATTTTGCCCAAGATTACCAAATGCGGTTAATTTGGGCAAAGTACAAACTACCAATCACGTGAAAAATTGTTTATTCCATAATGTGTACGTTGTACGATACTTAGTATTGTACCGACACACTGTACCGTACTAGTAATACTGTACCAGTACAATTCACAACCTAATTTAATTGGTTGAACTCCTTGAATTATATCTAATATCAACTCGTTTCAAAATTGTTTTTTGAAATCAAATTTAAGACCTCGAAATTGTTAAAAAGTTACTATAAGTCTATAACAAATTTTATGGTTTAAAACCAAAACCATTCCTATTAGAAATTATGTATTTTCGGAATAAATTTTTTCCATTAACTGTTAAGATTTTTATAAGGAAATATGATTGGCTATTATCAAAATATTTTATTTTGACAATAAAAATGTAGTCCAAAACTCCAAATAATTTCGACACAGACAAAAAAGAGAGAACGTGTAAAAAAAAAAATTCGATAGTAAAAGAATTACGTTACTTTACACTATATTATATACTATTATTGGAAAATAGAAACAATTCGGAGAAAAAAAAAAAATATTATCGTTCATGAAATTTGAACCGCGGAAAATATTGTGAATTGAAATTTTCAATCTTTTTTTTTTGAAAATGAGCGAAATAAATAATTTTAAAGTCTTAAAAAAAAATTATTTATTTCTTTATTAATAAATTAAAATTGTATTACAGTAGAAATCATTTATCGAGTTCAATACATTTATTATAACAAAATATATATATAATATTGCGGTGTCAACAGTAAACCGTGGTTTGGAGCCATACCGGTTCAAGTGGTTCAAAACGATTAACTATTTAATTTTAAATATATTTGATTAAGTGATGAAGCTGCGGTCAGTTCAATTTGTTCCTTAGTTCGGAGAACCCGATTCTAAATTTAGCAGATTCTGAATTTGTATTAGCCTGAAGCCATTTAACTGTTTCTAGAAATTGAACTTTGGCGCGCATAAGAGTCTCGAATTTGCCTGATAACCAATAAAAAAATTTAAATTTGATCAACATCATGCATTCTTTTGAAAGCAGAACCGGAGAGAGCGTCCCATTTCTATACGCATGACTTTATAGATAATTGTTGAGATACATGTAAATACAAAATTTAAATTGCCTATTTAGCTATTTTTATTCAATTAAAGTAATATCCTATCATAAAACTTCTTAAAATTTACATTGAAAGAACTTCACATAACACAAATGTGAATTGTGTTAGACCGTCAGAGGCTTAAAAAAAAAAAAGTTCGAAAGAAAGAAAAAGAAATAAAGGTAAAATAAAATTTACAATAAAGTTAAAGAAAATAATAAAAAAAAAAAAATTAAAAATACAATCTAAATCGTATGTATAAACAAAATAATAAACAGTCTATTACAAATGAAAAAACAAAAATAACGAAATTATTTTTTTAAAAGAACGAATTCTGATAAAATAAAGGATCGAGATTATTATTATTTTTATGAAAGTTTGTTCCATTAAAGAAATCATTCCCTAAAGGATTATCTGTTATTTCTTGTTCGGGTATTTGAATAATAATATTTATATTATTTGCAATGATTGCAAGATTTTCGAATTGTCGTCTTTTGCATTGTGTTAAATGTGACCAAATTTCATTTGTTGCTAAATCAATTAAAAGTGCATTATATTTTAATTTTAAACGATGAACTTCGCGTATCACATTTTGCTTTAATAAATCTTTTCCGCTCAACATTTGAAAACTTGTTCCATTTCTTGCTTGATCTGCAAGTGTCTTCGCATTGTTTACATGAGGGGGCGAACATATCATTCTTCTATTTCTTAATTGTTTTAGAAATTTGTTTAAGGTTGATCGAGATTGAACAGATTTAACTTTATGCATTTTAAAGGAATTTTTTTTTTTTAAAAAAAAAACGATTTTTTAAAAAAAAAGAGGAGGGAAAAAAATTATTTTTCAATGATAAATTTTTTTAAACCAAGGGTATATTTCTGCCTATATATATAAGATTTTTCCGCTAGTTACTATCGGAAAATTTACAGTATAAAAAAAAATTTTGTGGCACACCATTCTCAATTGACAATGTTGTCAATGTAATTTTATAATAAAAAAAAATTTTTTGTAACATAAAAAACCGGTATATGCGGTATATGAAGTATTTTGTAATATTTTTTGATTACATATTTCCTGTATTTCGGAAAATATGATAAGCATATTCAATAATGTATAAATTGTTTCATACCAGGGAAGCGTGAATTTTTTTTTTTAATCAGGCTAAATAGAGTATTTTGAAATGTGATGTGTATTGGAACGTGATATTTTGTCACACAAAAAATACAAACATTATTATTTCTTTTCCAAATTTCTTGTTTCCCTTATATAAATAAATGTTTGTATCAAGTGATGATTATCTTTTTAAATAAACAATGCTAAGCCATGTCATTGTTTTAAATTTTATAAATATATTGGACAAGAACCACTGATATGTAAATTCTTTCTAAAAATTTCAAAAATATTTGTTTTTGAACAAAAAAAAAAAAAAAAAAAAAAAAAATCTCACATGACCTTTCTTTATTATGGCTTGGTTATATTACAAAGGAATTGAAATTAGTAAATAATAAATAAATAAACACATATATATATAAGCCCGGTATTATTTATTTATTGATAAGGAATTTTTTATGGGTATTAATTAATAAAGTAAAAGGTTTCCATACTAGTACAACCGGTTTCAACCAGTATAAGAAATTATGTGTGTCGATATAAAGGTGTAACATTTTTACTCCGAAGAAATTTTCTAATGTTTTTTTCGCATATGACATCGTGATAAAGACTTTTGCTCTTTTTATTTTTATTTTTAGAAAATACCGTGAATAAACTAAGTAAAAGTTTATAAATATTTTCCTCCCATGACAAAATACATGTAATTCGATTGTTTCGTTCCTAAAAAAAAATTAGTACGATTAATTTCGATTGGTCAAAAAAATTTCGAATATCATCGTAATTTCACATGTAATATACCAAAGAAAGGTTTCCATTTGTTTTTGTCAGCAGACGAAGTCTTAAAATTTTTTTTTTACATCAATATTTGTAAATGACCAAGTACCAATTAAAAATTATATTTTGAAACATTTATTTTCTCGATAATCAACAACCTGGATTCTTTTTTTTTTTTTTTATTTATCCAAAATTGTTACCGTTAAGTAACGTTAATTCTAATTTAAAAAAAAAGTTTTTATTTTAGCGCGAAAAATCTTACATAATATAGTTAATATTTTGAACGATATTTTGCAAAAAAAATCTAAAAAACTCGTTTAATTTTCGTTTATTTCTTAAATATAACAGGGGGTTTCTTTTTTAATCGCGAATCCCGCTGATTGAACATATATCAATCGTTAAACAAAGAAAATATGTTTGTAATAAAGTTTTGAAAACTATGATCACGAGAATATGTTGATATTTTCTTTTTATAGTAGAGATTATTATTAGGCACAGGAAATGATTTTAAAAGTTCTCCTTGTTACCTTTTATCTTCTCAATTGAGAGTAATTTTTATAATTTATCACATGATTGCATTCTTACATTCTCGAATAAGAAATTCATCATTTATAATTATTTACGTTCAAACCTAAAACAGGATCATTGGCGGATATCCCGTGTTTCGGAAATTTATCCGATATTCCGGGGAAGTATCCAAAAAAGTTTATATTACTTTACGTAAACTCTCTTGTTTATTTATTTATTTATTTATTTATTTTGCAAAAAAATTTTTTTTTACGAAACGTTATCTAGTAAAATTATTCATGGTTAGATTGTTTCCCCCTCTAAAATGGGGTTCCTGAATTTTTCTGAAATTTCCCGAATTTTCCCAAAATTTTCAAAAGTTTTATTATTATGTTTATTTCATTTCGTTTGTTTAATGAAAACACGCACTCTCTCAAACTTTTCATAAAATCTGTATGTTAAATAAACAACCAAGTTGGAAAGGCTTTATTTGCAGTAACAAGTCGCTATGTTTTTTTTTTCAGAATATTAGTGCGGTACCCTGCATAATATATCACATGATTTACGTCGTTTGTCATACATACATATCATAAGAAATTTCTATTACTTTCGCGAAGAAATAATCCACGTGTGTCTTAAAAAGAAAATTATGGAAACTTATGGAAAATTTATTTTTCTTTGCCATTTCGTTTGGAAAAAAAAAGAAACATACTGTATAAATTTTTATTTGTTCCCATTTATTTATTTGTAGATTTTTTTTCGTACACGTCCTATGCGTATTTTTACCTGCTCTACAACTTTACTTGTAAGACTGAAAAAGGGTTTAGAATACTAATTTTGACTTTCAAATATAGTGTATTTTCTTAATTAAAATATAATAATTTTAAATACGTATACTAATATATTGTAAGAAAACGGGTCCAACTTTGCTTAAAAACACGATTACATGATTTCTGGCCCCAAAACAATTGATTGGTCTAGGTCTAGGATTTCGTTAATCTCGTAACTCATGTGATGTAGTAGATATGATATATTTCGACTTCGATATATTACTCGACTTTGATATATTACTCGACTTTGATATATTACCCGACTTCGATATATTACTCGACTTTGATATATTACCCGACTTCGATATATTACTCGACTTTGGTATATTACTCGACTTTGGTATATTACTCGACTTTGATATATTACTCGACTTTGATATATTTTACGTCGAAAAAGAAAAACTCATAATACCCACGTACCCAGGACGGAAAGTCGTATAAGAGCAGTATTCGTGATTTTTCATCAGGGACTGTACTAAGATTCCTTTTAGTACAGACAATATTTACTTCTTATATTATTTGTGGTATCTACATTGGCTGTATTTTTACTATCGTACAATACGTGATTCTTTCGGTACAGTGCGTGTTTGAGTCCGTGTTTTTTCGTTACATAAAAATAAAATGAAAATGAAAATGAAAATAAAAAATGAAAGCAAAAATGAAATTCATTCACGTCTCAAATCTACACTCATATTATTGTCCTCTTATCTAATTAATAAATAAAATAAAATCAAAAATCAAAAATGATAATAATTCAATGCGATAAGATAAAATAAGAATCCAATATAATTCAATGCGATAAATAAAATAAGAATTCAATTCATACCTCAAGATCATTCGAACAAAACTTAATATATCCCTAACAAGCAAGATATTTTTGATATTTTTGATATTTATAATGATTTAATGAAGTAAATGACACGTTAACCTGTTACTTTGATTAAATATCGAATTAATATTGTTAATATCGTTTGAAAAAAAAAAAAAAAAAAAAAAATTTTCAAAGAAATAAAATATATAAGTAAAAAATTAAAATGTTATCTTTTATTATCTTTTTTTATGCATCGGAAAATTAAAATTCTTGATTTTCTGAATTCTAAATATTCAGGATATTCATATTTTTTTTGTTAGACAAAAAAAAAAATTTTGGCGCTTTTTTTGGTCAAATGACAATTACTAAAGGATCACTTTGTTAATTACGTGAGACGTGAGAATTTGAATTTTTAATTTTTTTTTCTCTTTCAAAAGATTTTTTTGATTCTTTTCAATTATTATAATTAATATTTTAGTGAAATGAATGTTTATAAAAATATTTTGTTATCTTTCGCATCTTTTTGTTACCTTTCATGATTATTTAATCGTTATCAGTCATATCAGCTTATCAGAATATCAGTTTTAGCAATAAAGAACACATTTTACCATTACCAATGAAAATTAATTAATAAAATTTTTAGTGTCGGAAGAAAGAAAAATAGAAGGGATCAATGAAAAAGTTAAAATATTATCACGTAACTGGGTAATCCCATTTAAAATATTACAAAGATGATATTTATTGATTTTCTTAAAATACGTTAAACATTGTGGTTACTTCTTAATACCAAAATTAATTATTTCATTTAAAAAAAGAGAACTTCCTTAAATAAGTCTTATATATTGTAACAATAAATAATAAACAAATTAGCACCTGATGTAATGGTAATTTTTTATGAAATTATTAAATGTTTGATTTTATTATAAAAGTTTTTTTTTAAATATAACGAAAAAGATAAAAAAAATTCCATTTTTCATTTTGAATATGAATTAAAAATTCCCACGGGGTCATTTTTTATTTATTTATATAATTATATAATATTATAAGCATTTGTTATTGTGATATTATTTCGATGAATTACAGACTAGCTCATACAGGATAAGTAACATTTTTGTTGGTAAATGAATACCTATATAAAGGCATTTTATAATAAGATTTTGTGCATGAATTGACAAATAAGTATAACAAGGAAACCAGATTATACAAGTTAATATGAAATCATATATATACATAAAAGGAAACTATGGAAAACTATGAAACACCAATTAAAATTAGGGATCAACAATTCGTGACGTGATGTCTGCGCATCGTCGATTAGAATGCGCAGTTTGAAATCTCTAGTTCATTTCTCGTAGAGAATATCTGATATTATGATCAATCGTTATACAAATTGTTCGTCAAGGAATTATTGAAGACGTCAACTAATTTGGTACTTAAGGAAATATCGAAGAGCTAAAACAACCATTAGGTAAAATTAAAGATTGGAAACTTTCCTCTTCATAAAAGTTTGTTCCATAACCATTAAAAAAATTATCTTCAAAAGAACTATTTGTAATTTGTGGTATATTAATCTGAGACATTCGATAAATGGTCTCAGAGTTACGATTGTTACTTATATTATCCGCGAGACGCATTAGCCACTCTCTCTGCGAGTTTGTTAAATATGAATTCCAAATTATATTCGTTGCCGAATCAATATCAATTATATCATTATTAGATCGCACCCTGTGAACTTCATGTTCTACGTTTCTTCTTATTAAATCTTTTCCAGTTAATACTAAAGTATTTTTCAATTGAGATTTAAGCATTTGTATCATATCGTCGTTATTTTGAAGAGGTGAAAGAATGTTATCAATATTTATGCGATTTAAAAAATCTCTCATATTATTTTTGGAACAAAAGGAAATAAAATATGTGATTTTACCTCGATCAAACTCAAGAAAATTTCGCTGGTTTTTATAAGGAAAAATTTAATTTATATATCTAATCTATATTAAAACGGCCTTATCACTTTGTCAACGATGATATCAAACCGGAACAAATCCGAAAGAATCCGTAAAAATCATCTAAAATAAAAATCATCGAACAATCGTGATGGATATAATGATTAATGATGAATGTAAAGGAATTCATTATGAATTATTCGACAATCATTTTTTTATGTGTACAAAAAAAACAAAGCTTTGTGGATCAATTTGATATAACATTGTTAATCATGAAAGAACGATGATCCGATTAGTATATATATAGCTAAAGATTTCTCAAAAAAATTAAAAAAAATGAAAAAAATGAAAAAACAAAAAAGTATAAATATATAAGGATTAAGTATGGTTCCTAGCATGACGATAATTTTTTTTTAACATTTTACTTACTTACATTACTTTAAATGTTTTGATTTAATTTTAATTAAACAAAAAAGTCTAAATAATATTGGTAATTAATTAAACAGTGGCGCTTATTTAAATTTCATTCTCCACTATATATTAAAGTATTTATGGTATAGTCAGTCATAATTTAAAGCAAAAAATCGTGTTATTTTTTAAAAATTTTTTCTTTTTTAAAGTTAAACGATCGTCGCGCATTATTAATTTAATTGTTTAATATCTCCACTATATTAAAGCGTTTATGGTATAGTCAGTAATACCTGTCTCTTATACACATCTAGATGTGTATAAGAGACAGGTATTAAACGATCGTCGCGCATTATTATTTTTTCATTATTTAATAAAGGAAAGAAGTTTAGAAATTTCATTTTTGAACTTTCTCAATCCACATGGTTATACATGTGCCGTAATATTGTAATATTGTAATATTGTAATATGTTATTAAGAATATGTATGCACTTTCACCACTTCACGAAAAGGTTGGATTTTACATGTTTTTAAAGTTTTAATTAATATAAATGAAACCTTTTGATTTTTTTAATATAAATTATATTAAAAAAAAAAATATTTTTTATTTAAAATATCATAAAAAAAAAGAATCTTAAAAATAATCTTATAGAAGTCATATATAAAGAAAAATTGTGATTAATAAAATAACCGAATAAATTAATTTATCAACCATTTAAAAAAAATCGAATATATAATCGGAAAAAAAAAAAAAAATTGAGAATAAAAGAATAAAAATATGTGTAACGAAAGTTTACAAAATCATTAATTTTTACAACTCAAAATTGCAATAATAATAAAAAAAATGAAATAAAATTTCAACAATAATAAATATCCATCTTCTATTATTTCTAATAAAATTAATAATAAATGAAAAAAATTTTTTTTTTTTTTTAGCGCATAATTTATTGGGCGCAGAATTTAATGGTTTTTTTTTTTTTAAAAAAAAAACTCTTTAAAAAAAAATGGTAAAATCATGAAACAAACATTTTGAATATATCTGGCAAAAACTTGTTCAAAATGGATCATACAACATCCAATGATATGCATACTTGGCATCATGTACATCATATGGAACCAGAGTTTTATCTTAATCTGTCCATTGTGTTTGTCACACGTTATTAAAAAAGATGCATTGTCACATCTATCTCATCGCCAAAACGCCAAACCGTGTCTTTATATGTAAAACTTTTAACAATATTTAGCCCCAGTGTAATATGTAAGGCTGAATAAATATATTCAGGGTTAGTCAGGGTCAACAACCCCTTTTATTATATTTAAATCTAGTAAGCGATTAAAAATTTTTTTAATCCTTATTGATTTTGTTGGAAGAAATAGAAAATTAACATTCATTATTATTGAAACAATTTTTGTTAGTGTTATTGCTATTTTGTGTTATAAAAACGATCAATTTTGTAAATTTTCTTTTCTTTGAGCGAAATTATTCTCTAGTTCATAAAGAATTTATTCAGTAAATTTTAGGATGTTCGGAATAGCTTAACACAAGGATTCAGGGATTGAGGATTTAGGATTCAGGGATTTATGATTTAGGGATTTAGGGATTGAGGAATTTAAGGATTTAGGGATTTATGGTTTAGGGAAAGGATTTTTTTGTTTGTCAAGGTTAAGAGGGTTCAGGATTCAGGGATTGAGGAATTTAGGGATTTAGGGATTTAGGATTTAGGGATTTAGGATTTAGGGATTTAGGGTTTAGGGAAAGGATTTTTTTGTTTGTCAAGGTTAGGAGCTGTCTCTTATACACATCTAGATGTTTTTGTTTGTCAAGGTTAGGAGGGTTCAGGATTCAGGAATTTGGGATTTAGGATTCGGGGATTGATGATTTAGGATTTAGGATTTAGAACAAAATATTTATAAAGATAATTCTCCTGATAATATTTTGATTTTTGAAATAAATGAATGGATTTTATTTTTTTTTTTTTTTTTTTTTATAATAATTTAATTTTTTTTTATTTTTTTAATTTGTATTAATTTTCCACGTATTTATATATAAAACTTCAACCTTTAAAAAATGATAAAATTACTAAAGAATAGTATTAAAAGACAACGCGTCTTTGTTTCGAGTGTTACAAGAAAAACAAGATTTTACCGAAACCATTAAAAAAAAAAAAAAAAATCTTGAAAACTCTCAAACATTGTCGATCATCGTTAAGAAACAATCAAAAATGCATAATTTTGTATGATTGTTTAGAAATAAAAAGAATATAAAACAAACATTAGAATAAACAAATGAATAATATTGGAAATATTTACAACCATGTGGAATACCCAGATATTATTCTTTCAAAACTTCATCGATGTAATTATTAACCAATAATATTATAGTAACTCAAAAGAGGTGGAGCCCTTGTAATAGATAGATTGAGTTTTATAAGTTTAAATATTGTCTACCGGTTAACTCCGGGGACTCCGATGATTCCGGTGATGATCGGCCTAAATTAAAAAATTATAAAAAATTATAAAAAATTAAATGAAAAAATTACATATATACATATATATATACATACATACATACAAATATATATTATAAGACTTTTTTAGAATTTTTTATTATAAAATGATAATTATTATATAATAAACTTTCATATTTTCCTTTTAATAAGGATCTTTGAGTTTAGTATATAACCTTTTCAACTTTTGTCGTTATTTCATCGAATAAAGAAGGGACACTAAACATTTCATTATAGATTTTCTTTTTTTAGCATAGGTTCCAAAGTTTCATTCCATGTTTCAGATAAAAAAAATTTATGAGATAATATTTATTTTAAAGTTTTGCTTCAACTATAAGATAATGTCCATTGAGAACCAATTAGGAAATTGATAAACGCACAACTGTACTACATTGCTGTGATCATATGAATCAAGTATTGCCATAACACCATATATGATGAAATTATACAACTAGTACAACTTACACAACATGACTAGTCGTTTCAACAAATTCCATTAGTATTAACATCCCTTCTAAAAATATAATAATTTTTAAAAAGTCAAATGTGTCCAAATAAGGGTAATAATGAAAAGTCAATAAAAAGTTATAGTGATAATCAATTCGGCCGTAATCCGTAACATGTCTTTTACGACAGGAGAAAAAAAAAATTGATCGATCCCAATTAGATTATGGAAGATCATATAGATTTTATTGATAGCAACAAATTTAAATTATGCCAAATATTTTAATATTTAAATTCGGAATATTCGGAAATTTGGTCATGTAGTATTTGTAGTATATTTCAGCCTATTGCTATATTTGAATTTGAAATAATTACTTAATTGAATTTTTTAAATCATAAGAATAATTATTTAATATCCAAGTGGATAACAGGGATAATCTCTATTAGATGAATAAAATATCGATGATTGGTTATTATAAACAATAATGGGCTCAATATATAAAGTAATGAATTTCTTTATTTGAAACTAGTGAAAGACGATGTCATTATTTTCATTGTTAAAATGATTACTTTATATACTTTTATGTTTAATAAAATAAAATATTCTATTTAAATTATATTGTAAATAATTGAACGTATCCAAATATTTATTAAAAATGTTAAAATTTGAAAATAAAATCTTTCATCATTTTTAGTACACTAAAAAGATTTTTCTATCGGTGATAAGATTCCGAAATATCCATCACGCGTATTCGTTTCTTAATATATACAAAAATTACTTTATATATATTACTTTTATTACTTTTATTACTTTTATTACTTTGACGATAATTCACACACTATCCATACTTTCATTTTTCAAGTAATATATCCGAAAGTCCGAAATTGTCATAAGACATTGCATTAAACAATAGAGAGGAAAATGAACTCCGTAACATATTAAAAATATTAAAATATATGTAATATATGTACGCGTAATATATTACTATAAAAATATAATAACAGGGATTTATACCAGTTAATATTTAATTCTGAAATGGTAAAATGAACTTACCAACTCAAGATTAAATTATTAAATATCGAATTAAATCAAGCCACGCGTTACTTTTTAACGTGGAAAAGAAATTCCGTAATATATATTTTTATACTGTAAAAGATGCACATGTTTATCAAATGAAATAATAGCCGAATAATCTAAACAACTATAAATATAATATATAATAATATAAATTTATTCAATGTTAATGGACACAATATATATATATATATATATATATATATATATATATATCAAAGCGTGCAGAATTGATTTGTAATACAATTTTTTATCTACGCGCATTCGCTCCTTATTATTTTACCAATTACGACTCAAGTTGCCAAACATGTTCGTTTACTTCAGCCTTGGGAGAAAATCTAATAGAGATGATAGATAACTATACTTTATTTATCACTTTAAAGCCAATATGAAATACATGAAATTATATACTTTTATTTTATGTATTTTACTTGAACTATTTAATATTTAGAACTATTTAATATTTATGCACATATTCCCTATCATCCCCCTAATGTATATTAGTAATATTACTGATTATATTTACAATTTAAGTAACATGACTCAATTAAACATCGTTAAACGTCTGATTAACTGTTAACTTTATATTATTAATAAACTATTCTTCATTTGAAAATATATTATTTAATGAATAATGACCATCCTGTTCAAATGTATTACATTCTTTCTTTCTTTTTTTCTTTTTATCTTTTTTTTTTTTTTACGCCTTGATAATCAATAATTATTAATTTGATCATTTCGTTACATTTAATTATTTATAATATTTATTTATAATTTTTATTCATATGTTATTTTATACAGTTGGCATATTATCTCCCTAATTCGTTGGTTGATCATAATCATTCATAATGAAGAAAAAAAAAATTTCAGAATTTTCTAATCTTCTGAGATTGTGGATCCAACGATATATAAAGCGTCATGTTTTAGCCCACTTGCAAATTGCGTTTATTCGTTTTTTCGTTAAAAAAAAATAAAAAAAAATAAAAAAAAAACCAAAAAAAAAAACCAAAATATTATTATATATATATATATCCCTTTTACATTCGTATTGTAAATAAAAAAAACGCAATTTTAATTTTCGTAACTATCGCTCGCATATAAAATGTCGATTACAGGAAATCCTTACGTCTTCATCGGTTTCGTAAACATGGTCAGTTTAATTATTTCTTTTCAATAATATTTACAATATTTACAATATTTGAACTTTGAACAAACTCACCAAAAGAAAATTAGTTGTTTAATTTTACTAACATATTTTTGTTTTTCAGGTTGGTCTTCATAATTTTGTAAAGTCGGTCCTCCTATATCGCGCTGGGCGTGAAAAGTACTTGACCATGTTAAAGGTTATCTTTAACGCTAGCATCACTGCATATTATTTGATTGAATTACTTTACGTCACAAATGACTTGTCTTTGGACGAATGCAAGAAAATTAGTTACGCGCAGATCATATTTGGCTATCTTATGGTGCAATCATTGGCCGCTTACATGTTTAATCTTATTAAGCAATATGAATATAACAAATTTGATACGTGGATGAGTATTGGATTGCTTGTACTTAGAGCAGGATTTCATGTAAGCAATTTTTTTTAAAAAAAAAGATTCTAATTATTCTAATTGTGATAATTATATTTAATAATAAAATTCTTTTTTTTTTTTCAGATTGCGTACATTTTTTCTATTAATCCACATATCAACGCACTTTTTAATAGTAATGGTCAAATCATCAATCTAACTTTTTGTAATAACGGGATAGAAAGTGGAAGAAATCAATCGATGAACTTAGTAATGGTTGATTTATTCATCGATGCTTACGTTATGGTTCGTTTGATGCAAATTTTACACAAGAGTTCAAGCTTTAAAAATCGATCGTTCAATATTTTTACCTTGGTCACTTATTGGAACTTGATGACCGTTTTGGTTGCGTTATGGTATCACATGCTTATGGGATTAAACAACTTCGAATATTCTCAAAGCTATGATGTGATTGCTAAACAAGCATCACTTATCATTCTCTCTTATCTCGTTACGATCGAAACCGAAAAAAGAAGATGAACCAATTTTATCAATTTTATTAAAAAAAAAAAAAAGAAAAGAAAGATATAAAATTCAGTTTTTTATTTTTTTTTTATTTTTTTTTTTACTTTTTTATTATTTTTTTTTTCTATTCTTTATTGAAGAATTTCGTTTATACTTTTTATAAGTGATGGTTACATAAAAAATATGAGAAAAAAAAAAAATACTTTAAGGTAAGATATAGTATGAATATATATACGCTTTTCATATATATATATGTTTTTTATTTTAAGTTTCTATCTCGAGGTAAATTACTTTTGTATATGTTATATCGGACAAAATATCGAGTAAATAAAATAAAGTTTATATATTTATATATATATATATATTAACGTGAAACAAATAAATTCAGTAAATTGTAGTTTAAAGTGATATTCTCCGCGAATAGCGAATATGTAAGTAGTTGATAAGTTGATATGTCAATCGAGTTAGGTAGGACAGTAGGACACTCACGTGATTAATTTTTCACGTGATTAAAATTTTCCAATGTTAGTATTTAAATAATGAAAACAATATTTAATTTTATTACAATATAAGCATAAAATATTGTTTCTTTTATTTCTGCATGATATCCCTTAAACAGTTTACGATAAAATTTTTTTTAGAAAAAAAAAAATTTTAACGTATACTTGAATATAATTATTATTTTTAGATTTGGTAAATTTTTAAAACTTGTGGAATTTTTTTTCTCGTAAAAAAATCATAATATGATCAAACATATGAAACATATGTCAACAATATTATTGTCCATTGATGTGTGTCTTAAAAAAATTTTCGTTAGAGGATCTGCAGATTGGTTAAAAGATTTGATGTGTTACGATAGGATGATCATCATTCTCCACTCAAAACTCCACTTTATTTTTGTTTTTTTAAATATTATTCCATTTATTGATAATAACTTAAAAAAAAGAAAATTTTTACCGCCTTTTATTTTATGTGTTGTTATTTTTGGTTAACCATGGTATATTAAAACACAAAGCATGATATTTTGAAACTCGAAAACAACGTGAAACATTGTGAAACCAATTTTAAACGTTAATTGTAAGAGAATTACATACTCCTTTAACGATTGTCTTACATGTCTTACAGACTTACACCCGAAAAAAAAAAAAAATTTTTTTTAATTTCGTCATTTTTTTTCAAATAATAATATCCTTAAATGAAAAAATTTAAAACATTATCATTATCCGGAAACATTTTGATTGAACTAATAATAGTAAAGTAACTAATACATAAAAGTTTCACTCATACACAGTATGCAGTTATAAGTTATAACCCCACAAAATGTTACTGTAAAAAAACACAACATCCTTGCTTTTCACATACAATAAAGTTTAAAGTAGATGTATTTTATAAAGAGCTCGAAATTGAACGCTAAATAAATAATTTTTATTTTCAACTTGTTATAATTTTAATCGTCCAAAATATTATTTTTTTATTGACTGTGTCATTTCTTATTATTTTTTTTTAGAATTATTAAACGTACAAATAAAATTTGGCGAATTATCTATGTAGATATAAAAAAAAAAAGATATTCTTGAGATTGAGAATTATTACTCGGTAGATTATAAGACACAAGAAAATAATTTCTGGCCTCGTTAATCTTTCATAGTTAAATCGTTGGCTGATGTAATAATGTAATAATGATATATTATTACAGCAAATTTTTATAAGTTGCGGTTGATGTCGTGATAATAAACATGTGACATTTAGCCAATCACTTGGTGAAACGGCACGGTCGTACACGTCATCAAAATCCATCCAGTCACGTGATTAATATACATTCTATCTCGACATAAAAAATTGTTTGTAATAAACTTGTAAAAAAAAAAAATTTGTATATATCTGATATATTTTGCGAGAAGTTAGACTAGCAAATGTATAATCTAACAATTAATAACCTATTTGATTTTATCTTTATTAAAACACACCATTTCATTAATTGATAGTGTTACAAATTCCGAAATTTCTGCGTCAAAGATTTTATGTAAATTCAAAAATTATGTTAACTTATTATTCATTTTTATTATTAATTCCTCGCATTTTTCTTTAAAAAAACTTCCTATCCTTTTTCTTTGGTAGAGTTTTTCGGCAAGTTTACAAATGACAAACTCTATTACTACACTATAAAAAGTGTCGATCGCGCGATGAAATGAAAAGATGGCTCAACCTTCATCGAGCAAACGTGAATTTTTCGTGGTTACGCAGAATAATTATCAGAATAAATGTATTTTTGGTATTTTGGTTTTATTGTGTTTGCATTTTTTTTTTATTTTGTAATACATAAATCTTTGTTTTTTTTTCAAAAAAAAAAAAAAATCGACAAATATTGGACGTTGAGCGAATAGTAATAAAAAAGAAGCAGTTTTTGTCTCATGTTTATTTAATATGTTAAAAGAGAAATTAAATAACTTGACGAGCGACAATTCGAAAATTACTTTCACCTACCTACTTCATTTTCACATTTTTTTTAATTATTTTTTAGAATTAAATTATTTTCAATATCATTACATCTAATATTTTATTCGGTTTATAGGCTGGTTCATATTACAGTATTCTATTAAAATAAATAAATTAAAGTCGGATTGCTAATTTAATTATAAAAATTAAGATGTGTATTATAATTGTCCGGAGCGAAGCGAAGGACAATGTATGTCTACGCACTATGAAAAAAAATCGATCACGTGAATTTCTCTGTCCTACACGTGATCGTAACCCAATGAAATCGCAAATTTTAGTTTTTCGCTTCGGTTCCCGTTTCCTAGTTTTATACTTACGTTGATAAAGTAGTAGATTTAACATTTGCGTTTGGATAACCTCTTCTCTTGCGTCAACTATAAATATAATAGAGGCGGGATCGTTTCTTGTTTAAAAATGACAAACAATTAGTCATTAGAATAATACTCCTAAAAATATGAGTCAGATTAAACTATATGAAAAGTTAAAATAAAGAATGCACTGTATTAATTATTATCGCTATTACATTAATAATTTAATATAAAGATAAATTGTAGGATAGTATAATTATTCAAACTTATAATATCTCATGTAAAATATTAGATTTGCATTCGCGATTTCTTTGCAGATATAAGTTGAATTTCCCATTTAAGAGTTATAGCCTCGTCTAAATATATTTCACCATCTGCTTACGTGAACGATTTGTTTATTTAAAGGTAAAAAATATATGTGAGCAAATGCTTGAATAAACGAATTTAAAATGTATATTATTAATCTTTTTTTATGGAGCGCATTTATTTCACCGAAAATCGTCTCACTAATAATCAACTTACAGTATTTCATGCTCGCCAACGATCAAAGACATGTGACAGGCAGAATCATATTTCGCCGAAGGTCATTTCACCGACAGGATGACAAGGTCATTTCACCGATAGGATGACAAGGTTATTTCACTGACAAATACTAAATTAATAACTTTTTGTAATAAAATGATTCATTGAACTCTAAAAAGTATTTCTCCATTATATTAGACAATTCTTTTGTTGGTATTTCATTTTTATATTCATTATTAACAATTACTCTTTTTGATTGATTATCAAATTATTTTTGTAATTTTTATGAATATTGATTACCCAATTATTTCATAAGAAAATTAAATGTTAAATACAAATATCTAATTTATTTGACGTATAACGTGTAATTTCATATTTATAAATACTAAATGTTTGATATATTTATAAAAAAAAGGAATATTTAGTGTATTTAACATATAAATAGATAAATGGTTAGCGTTAAAAATTTTGTTATAAAAAATATTAATACTGAAATGAAAAAAAAAATATTTCGACGAAGTGATTTTAGATAAAATGATTTTCGGTGAACTCTATCGAGTTGACTGTCGGTGAAATAATTGTGAAATAACCGAACCCACTTTTTATAACTCCTCAGGATATAATTATTTTAGTGAAGTTTAACTCTATTCATTAAATAAAGAAATAAAATATTGTATTACAAAACTATTATTTTTTTAAAAAAAATCAAGAAACATGATTAAGGTTTTTCAATTAAATTGAATGCTGGATAAATAGTTTGATTTTCAAATTCATAAAAACCAAAAAAAATTCAATATTTTTACAATATTTTATAATTGAAGAAATTGATGATTTAATAATAGATTATTATAACAGGACCCCGAAATATATATAAAAAGGTAAGGTGACCTTTGAACTTTTTACTAATAGCTGTACGCAAGGGTTTTCTGTAAGTTTAGTACGCAAAATTACCTCCTTACTTTGGATAATTGGAAAAAATACGCAAATTAATTTCCTAATCACTGATAACTAATCATGTGATTTACACATTGTTTTGTTGATTAAACTTCTCGTTTATCGAAGAATTATTTTTTAAAAAAAATTTAATAACTTTATATGTCACATAATTATATAAATGTATTTATTAATGCACAAGCATTACACATTTTTTTACACTAAATAAAGTTTTTTTGCACTAATAGTCATTTATATTTATTTTTATTTATTTCAATGAAATATATACATATATATATGATCAGTCAAATTACTAAAAATACGCAAAATAAACCCTTACTTAAACAAAAAACTTGTTAAAAATACGCATTTTAATAGTCTGACCATGGCTAAAAAATCCTCAGGTTGTACGCAAATCAATACCTAACCCCATAAAATTTCTCTATGCTGGCGACGCAATTATGTACCTTACCCCTACATATATATTTCGGGGTCCTATTATAACTGATAACCAAATCCATCCGAAATTCTCTAAATAAAGATTTTAATTCAAATGGTTTAGTTAAATTAATAATTTATCAATTAAAATGAGTAAAATGAATATCAAAAGAACAATAATAAATGAAATTAACAGATTCTAATACATTTAATTCTTCAAATATTTTTCCTAACTGCAATATTAAAGTTTTTTCGAAAATACTTCTAAAAAGTTAATCAATTTTTATTGATAATTATTTTTTAACAATTCCTTAACTGTTAATTAATAATACGAATTTAATTCTACACTTAAACGTCAAATCATTAATATAAAT